GGTTGGAGAGAGGAGAGCTGAGGCAGAGCCCCTCCCTCAGCCCCCAACACTGCCCTCTGCCTCCTGGGATCCATGAGATGGGCGGGTTCAGCCCCTCAAGGCCTTTTATTCATTTCATTTTGAGGTTGCCCTCAAGAACTTTCTGGATAGAGTCAGGCCATGAGGTAAACACATTTCTCCACTAGGCTAGCAATTCTCAATCTTGGCTGCAAGTCAGAAATACCTGGGGAGCTGCTAAGACATGCCCAAGTTCATAGCCATGTCTGAGCCCAATGAAGACAAAAATACCAGAATATCTGAGAATGAGGCCCAAGTGCCAGTATCTTAAAAGCAAACTCCTGGGGACCCTGTGTGGGTGCGGCCAAGATGGGAGCCACAGCCCTGGGCAGTGCTGCTCAAGCTTGCCACAGGTTAGTCTCCTGGGGTGCTTTTTAATCGCCAGCCCAGGCCAATTGAACCCAAACTTTAAAGCTCTCCAGGTGATTCAGATGGAGTCAGAATTGAGAAGTGTTGCTTTAGACCAAATAAGGATAATAAGGATTGCCTTTTATTTTGTATCTCATCTTAAATTATGCAGCCATGTTAATTAAAAACAAACAAACAAAAAAAACCCAAAAACAAAACAAGAAAACCTTACAGGGTCCTGATGTTGCTATCCCCCCGCCCCCACAATGAAAACTTCTTCTAAAGGTCAAATGAATCCCTTGTTCTTACCCTGAAATCAGAGTCTGAATGTCTCTAGATATTCCGCTCTCCTGACATTTTCTTTTTAATTTGCTTGACCCCTTCGAGGGGGGCTCTTCTGGAGAGTCTGAATGGAATCGACACCCTGGTTCGCCAAGACCCACAAAGCATTGAGTTGGCGTGTTGGGTAAAGGCACAACCCCCCCACCCCAATATTCAAAACAACCTGGGACCACATGTGACGGTATCTGCAGCTTATAAATCAGGCGTCCGTTCCCCCGTTTTCAAACGTTAAGTGGTACACCCAGACCCTACTCATTACTTACTCTAGGTCGGTGATTCTCAGACTGGGGTTCCTCGACCAGCCGCGACATCTCCAGGGGACGGATTAGAAAATTCTTAGGCTGCGTACGCCAGACCTACTGAATCAGAAGCCCTGGATATGAGGCCCCAGTCTGTGTTTAACAAGCCCTCCAGGTGACAGAGATTTTTGCTGAAGCAGGAGAAGCCACGCTCCACAGAGGCACATCGCTGCTAGGAACTGAAGACCACTGCGGACACAGAATGTGGTCTCAGTGGGTGGGCGGAGAATTACCAAACCAACAGGTGAAACAGAGATTTGCGACTTTACTCTTCTGGGGGTGCCCACACAGGCATCCTAGGTTTTCAGAGCCCACCACCTGTGAGCTGAGAACAAAGCAGCCGGATAATTCTCCCATCAAGTTTAACAGACACTGAGAATACTAAATACTAGATCATGGCAGAATTTTTTTTAAAAAAAATCTTTATTACGCATTCTTCTCTGAAAGAAAACATCTGAATGCTTGGGCAACATTTTGAAATTGCTAGTGTGCCATCTCCCGGGATTTTCGGAGGCCCCGTTCTTTGCCTTTCTGTCTTCTTAGACCTTTCAAACCTTTTAAAGTCTCCCTTTGAATTCCCTATTTGTTCTCTGTGTTCCCAGCAGCCTAGTTTTAAACTTTGTGGGGGTTCTCTGCAGGGAGGGACATAACCACCACACTTTCTTGTGACACAGGCATCCCATAATGAAAACGAGCAATGCTCAGAGGTAACTTCATGGCCTCATGTGTCCCCCAGTGATTGTCTTTTTGACAGCCGATATGCACAGGGGAGATCAAAGTGGCGTAGGGACGGGAGGTCTCGGTCAGAAAGCAAAAAGCCTGCACGCCTGCAATCTACCCATTAGTGTTTTAATGCCTCCCATTGGTTTTGGTAAGAGCCTCCTCAGTGAGACTCCTCCTTCCTTCTACCTGGACTATGCTAGACTTCGCCTCCCATTCTGAGTGCCTGTCCTGTGTACCTTGACACCCCTGGCTTTCCCAGCACTCTCAGATATTAGTAGTGACAGAGGCAAAGAGGACCAGGACACTGAGTCCAGAGCTGATCACAATTTCGCTGTCTCAGAAGGTTGGAAGAAGTCATATACACCGGGAGAGATGGAGGAAGAGACTCCAAGGAGGGGGTGGGGTGGTGCGGGGCGCAGGGGAGAGGGGGAGGAGCAGGAGATATAAGGTCGGGGCGTGAGTCATTGTGAGGGGCTGGATAGTGAACTGAGCAGCTGGCCGCTCAGGGAGCAGTGGGGGATGGGAGGACAGGAGGAAATTTGGAGAGGAAGCTTTCTGATGAAACTGCGATCATCGTACGCTCTTCAAAGTGTGAAATTCTCCGCTCTTCGGAGGGGAGCCCAATACAGGTGCTGGAAATGTAATAAGAAAAATTAGAGACCGAGAGCCAGCTGTGAAGCTTGAGTTTTACCATTTGTCCTGCTGTTTGCCCAGCCATCCCTTTGACCTTGTGCGTCTACATACCTGATCCGGAGGCCCTGTACATTCCTGGGGTCCCAAGAGGTTTTGAGGCTCTAGCTAGGGCAGCCAGAGACAGCATCACAAAAAGGGGACTGGGACAGCCTGTTACAGGGATGGCCCACCAGCTAGTACTGCTTTTTCGGTTCCAAATGTCCAAGACGCAGGTGCTGCTGCACAGAAGTCAAGGCCAAGGGTGGTGCGCGGGCGTGTCACCGCGTGGCAGATCTGGCCTCCGACCTCCCCCCACCCCCAGTCAAACAAGCAGCCGTGGGTTATAAAAACACAGCACACACTGGGTTTTAATGAGAAAATAATTGTATACTTGCATTGAATGCCTCACAATCACTATAAAACCGAAGCAGGATAATAACATTTAAGTGGTTAACATACACAGGAGAGCCAGATACAGAGTATAATTTTCAAACACAGTATTGCTGCTTTCCCCACTCTCCTCCTCCAAAAAAAAAATAAAAATAAAAATAAAAAGTCATTTGGGTCCAGGGCAACACAAAATGAATATTGGCAGCTCACTCACTGAATGCTTAAAATTCAGGAAATTGGTTCTGTCACTTAAACTGGATATAGTCACCATCTCTAAACACTTAGGCTATTTTTTTTTCAATACATAGTTTAATTACATCCATTCTTTAGTTGGAAAAATGTTTAATTGTCTTCAGAGACAAGAGTCGACACTGTTTTAGTGTTTCTTGTTACACTTTATGTGTGTGTGTGTGTGTGTGTGTGTTGTGTGTATATGTGGACACTGATCTATATACTGCTTATATGTCATCGTCGAGGGGAGGCAGCATGCAGAGGTGTGAAGAGGCAAGGAAACTGCATTGTGTCAACCAAGTGGAACACAGCCCCGCCTCCTACCACTGACAGACCCTGTTTCCATAATTTCTGGATGAGAAAGCCAAGGCATGTCAGTAGTTAATCAGCCCCCGAGGACAGTGAACATCTATAAACACTGTGGAAAGGAACACTTTCAGGAAAGCTTTTAACATCTACAGAATCTAAACATTTGTTATAGCTGAGATTAACAAGCTTGCGTGCTATTTGGGGGCAGGGACGAGCATCAGAGGCTGATTTTCAGGACAAGCCTCTTCCTCTTGATGGATTACGCAGGAATGACTCTCCTCCAGGGGTCTGCTGCATCTTCAGAAGGTTAAAGGGGTTCATTAGGGATCCCAGAGCCTAGCATGGTGCGATGTACAAAGCCCTGTATTTTCTGAAGGAGTAAAAAACTCAAGAGCTCAGAGAAAATCTGGCTCTTCCAAGGGAACTGTAATTTACATTTTCATAGGATCTGGAGTGAGTGGAGCAAGGAAATAGCCATCTGTCATCAGAAGGCAGCAGAGGAACAAGCGAAGGCTGGAGATGTAGGGGCCATAGGTAAGCAGCTTTGTGACTACAGGAGGGTCACGGAAACTCTGCATTTGTTGCCTTATCGACGCACGGAGCACGCACCAAGGGACTCGGCTCTAGAACTCTGCACAACGTGATTCATGCTTCTGGTTCAATCAGCTGGAGTCAGCGGCCAACTGGTCTGCCTCTAGAGCGATTCCATTAATTGTGTGACCTCCTAAGCTTTCAATCCGAAGCAAATTCTCTTTTTCACATGTAGGTTTTAAAGTGGGTGGGTACACGGCTTCCATCAAAACCGAACAAAAACCTGCAGGTCGGTCCTGAGGGCTGTTTCATCTTGTGAAAGACGGTGTTTGTCCGCTATCACGTCTGTATCACTACCAGAGGCAGAGGCAATCCAGAAAACATGAAGCATGTTCCGTTTTTGGTGCCCCGCCTAGAACCACTACACTCACCAGCCGTCCTAGCTACCACTGTGCCCCCGAGGTCCCACGAAGGTCTTGTCCCAGCTGTTTTCAGTCCTGTGCCTGCTGTGGGAAGGCTGGAAATCCTCAGGCAAAGCAGCCTTCCTGGGTTCTCCCCATTTCACCCGTCAGGACTCCCCACCTAACACAGACCTCATTTTCCTGGGCACGTCTGTCTCCATGCCAGGCTCCCCAACTTGAAAAAGAATTCCTTGCCGTAGGGATCTTTGTTGTGTTCCCGGTGGCTAGCACGTTTGGCTGAGTATCCCTTCAGAATATTCAGGACAATAAACCATATAAAGATGGTGCCCACCACCCATCTCTAGAGTTCGGCTTCAAATGGCAGGTTCCCTTGGCAGTTTGAAAGGATCCTTGTGAGGTATCAGACAGGTGCATTTTTACTTAATGCCCGCTGCTGGTCTGCGAATAAACCTTCCCCCCTAAAGTCAACACTAGTCTATTAAGAGAAGCAAAGATAACGTGCCTAACATCTACATACACACTGTTGTGGCATCGCTACCTATCAGAGTAACATAGCAGAGTTTATGACATAACAATATAAAAACAAAAAAGAATTTTAGTGAGGTCTGGCTTAATTATTGCTTTTTAAAAAACCACAGTTTTGAAAGAAATAGGAAGAGAAAAAATAAAAAAAAAAGGCTGGTCCGTTTTTTTCTTCTCATGGCCAGAATTAAAAATGTTTCTCATCCAGAAATTCAGGGCACCCAATTATGGAATACCCTTTTCATATTGCTTTAAATGACAGAGAGCAAAGCTGGCGTCCTCCACAGTGTACTAAGCTATGAATACAAAGCATGAGAATAAATACGGTACTTTTCTCAATGTCAAATTACAAAACCGCTCCAAACTTTTCAATTGCAACTCATGCAAATACCAGGTTAGGTCAATTTAATATTACAAATACTGTATCAGGTCAGTGCCTCTATATCCCTTTTCATAAAAAAGAAATTCTCACTCACTCCCGACACTGGCAAACAGCTTTGGAGGAAATAACTGTACACCCTTGTCCCATGATCATTCTGGAATTTTCATCCTTGTACACACACTTTACCCAAACACACAAAGGCACACACACACTCACACACACACATACGTGTACACACATAACCATCTTTAGGAATTGTAGCTGATTCCAAGCCTGCACTTAAATTTCTATTCTATATTTTTCTCTTTATTGTCCTGAAAAACGCTGGTTGCTCAGCAAAAATAGTATCTCTTACTTCCTTATTTTCCCACTTCCTCCCTCCCTGTTTTTCTGTCTACCTTCATGACCTTTTCTTTAATGTTTCCTTTCTGACTGATCCAAAATAATCTATCATTCTCCCTCCCAAGGTCCAGTTTATAATATAAAATATAGCTATAAACACCTTTTTATTTCCTGTCCTCTGCCTCAGGCAGAGTTTGCCCTTTTTCAATTATTGCCACTCCAAAAATATCCCTACCGTCTGTTGAGCCAACCTGTTGAATGTGTACAGGTTTCATACATGGATACACTCCCCCCATCCCATCATAAAAATAGTTGTTGCCCACTAAATAGAGCTTTCGTGTGAAGAGAAACATAATTGTGAAAATGTGTTCTCATGAACAGCAAATTAGTCAATACTCAAACCAGACGAGATCCTAAAGCTAAAACAATCCATTTGGTTTGGCTTTCTCCTTCCTTCTTGACCCCTTCATGTAGAATAGATTGTATTTGCAACATGAAGAAACACGGTCTCCAAAAGGTGGATTTTAGGTATTGCCATCATTGATTGCTCCCAATTAAAAACAACTAAATGGAAGAGACATGGAATCATAATTGTCTCTTCCGGGCAGATAGAGAGAAAATTGCATTTCGTTTTATGGCTGCTGGAGTAAACGGAGTTATCCCAACACCTGGGATGCCATGAGTGAAGGTGGGAAGCCGGTGTAGGAAGTACCCCAGGCCCCGTGGCTTGCACTGGCGTGGGCTCTACTGCTCTACATGGCCCTGTTACCAATGTCTGTCCTCATCACCCAGAGAGGCTGGTCTTAGTTCTGCCTGTGGCAGCCACGTTGACTCGTTACTGCTTTGTCCTTTTGAGTCGAAGGACTGGTCCAAACCCAGGTGATTCTTTGAGTCTCAAAAAAAAAAAAAAAAAAATCAATTCTCTTTTGACTCCTGGGTGTTTCTAGGGTTTGATGGGTGGGCTTCTTTTCACTTGATTTTTCATCATTGGTCATTGCAGCTTCTGGTCTACATAAGGATTGTGGAGTTTGTTCGCACTTTAATAAATATTCCATTAAAATGCTTTGATGTGTGGATTTCTTGGTTTCTTGGGAACCCAAGCACCAAAGAAGCTTCCTGGGTGAAAGAAGTTTGTTATTCATTGTCCTCTTCCTCCTGGTTGGCATAAATCCCTGCCTCCCAGCGCAAGGCCAGGGCGCTCTTTCTTCGATTAACCCGTGTGGCCTCAAGGACCTGAAGAGAGAAGGGAAAAAAAAAATGAATGAGAGATCATGGATGTTCACTATGTACGCAAACCAGCTTCTCTGTTTCTTTTGTCCTTTCCCTCTCAACGGCATCCAAGAAAGGGAAAGTAATAGTGTCTGGTATGGCCAGGAAGTGGAAGAGACATGGGAAATGAAGTAGGATGGGATGTGCTGGATATGCATTCATTTCATTGCCAGATTTCATTTGCTATTTGACCCATAGTTTTCAATATCAAAAGATTTAATTCCCCTGAAATGTTTTGCAAGTCCATCTTTTTCTTCCAAATTTTTATTCTAGTGGGTGAACATACAGTGTCGTATTGGTTTCAAGAGCAGAATTTAGTGATTCAATACTTACATATAATGCCCAGAGCTCATCACAAGTCTGGACATGTTTTTGAACTAGACTTGACTCTGCGTTGTGTTTCGATAACACAGTGGTTCTCTACATGTTATCCGATCAGTGCTGTCTGATGGAAATGTTCTGGATCTGTGTCATCAACATGGCAACCACTGAGCTACATGACTGTGGAGCACTTGGAATAAGACCAGTGTGGCTGCGAAACTAAAAATTTAATTTTAATTAATTTTAATATCCTCACGGACCTTGTGACTACCATATTGGACAGCACAGGTTATCAGTTGTCTCAGTCTCTTTGTGAACAAGCAAACCGGAAAATAATCCCAAACAGCTGGGCCAGTGTGAATTCCATCCGTCAAACTTTGTGGACATACATAAGCTGTGATCATATTTATATCATGAAAGTCTATTTTGGTATAACTCAACTTCCAACAGAAACTAAGTGAAAAGAAAAAGAGCTTCCCAGGCCAATTAAAGCAACCTGAGCATAATGATGCGACATCAGGGCCCAGGTGCTAATCAATGAAATCCAAGGTCAGAAAATCAAGGACAGGTAGGCTCACCACCATCAGGGCAAGACCTGCCTCCCTCCAGTTCACCAGAGTACTCTGTGGACTCCAGAGGGAAAACTTCATTCAGGCTGTTCCGGCTTTGGTCTGATCGAGATGAGATCCCGATGGATGACGTTCAGGTGGCCAACATATGGGAAATGACTCAATTTCATCACTCAGTACCACAAGCAAGCCCATGCGTGCCAACCACTTAAATGATGGTGGCATTAGCTTAGAACATGCAGGTTCTGACATTAAAGTCTAGCAGAGCCAGCACTGTTTGATGATCCAAACTGCAGTGAAGTCTTCGCTTATTCTAAGAACAATCATTTTGGCAAGGGACAGAAAGGCGGGCAACTCCGGAGAAGCAGGGAGATGCAGGCTGCAGGCGGTCTTGGGTACTAGCAAGTTCTAGGGAGATTCATGACTTGGGGGTCCATCTCAACCTGCTTCTTTGGACCTCTGACAAATGGATGGACTTCCCAGACCTTCCATGTGCTTTCCTCTGGGAAGCCTTCCCCAGGCTCCCCAGTGGGGACAGCTGGACCTACCACGTAGGAGGCACTCGGCCATGTCTCCTAAATGAATGTTCATCGTTAAGCAATAAGCCATGTCGCAGGGTCTTATGTGTCAGCATACTACGGTCACTTATTCAATATCTAAGAATAAGAGACTGGTAGGGGCAAAGAAGTGTAGTTTAGTAGAGGATTCGTCTAGAAGGTCAGTGCATGGTAACGCGGTACTGAGAGAGGGTACTAGCCTGGATCAGGAAGTCCTCACTTTCTTTCCAGTTCCGTCTGGAACACGGTACTGTTCATGGCATCTCGTGTCTCAAGTTTCTTCATCTGCAAGATGGAGACAGCACCTACCCTGGGTCGCAGGCATTCTCTGGAGACAGTGCTGACTCTGAAGTCCAGGCATGTCTAGATTTAAATCCTAATGACTGTGTGACCTTAGAAAAGTCACTTATCCCTGGACCTCAGTTCTCTTAGGTGTGAAATGGGAATCCTAAAAGCTATAGTACAGAGCTGGCCGAAGGAATAAATGATACAATGTACATACAGCCTAGTTCCCTGTGCTCTACAACTTGCGAACTGTAACAATTTCCATCATTATTGGAAGGGGTTTGTAAATGATGAAGTGTTCAGATGTAAGGCATTTTTATAAGGAGCACTACACCATATACTGTCTCCAGGTAATCCAAGGCTTCTGGTGAGGACTGGCTCAGGACTGAAGGCATCCCACAATGGCCTTTTGAAGATTTAAAGGCCAAGCTCCTGGAGAAGGTATCTAAATGAGCATTTATTCCATAATTAATTCAGAAGACAGTAATGTCGTATGTGCCTATGTGGGTATGGAGCTGATGCCCTAGGCTGCCGTGCCACACTGCGGCTCAGTGCCCGTAAGGAGTCTGTCGAAAGAAGCAACAGAAAAAACAATAATACTCCACAGGGATGGAGAGGGGAAAACGTTAAAAAAGTTGAAAATAATAATAAAAAGTCTGATTTAAGGGTTTATCATTTTCACAAATTTAGATTTAGGTTTGGTGAGAGGGAGAAAAATCAACTCTTTTTGAACAACTCCCCCTAATATTAATTTTCTGTCTCTTGTGCTTGAGGAATTCAAGCAAATCGCTTGTTTCTCATAGAAATCAACAGAAGATTGTACTTGGGGGATGGGTAACAAAAGGCAGAGGGGTTAAGGAATGTCAGTGACTCCATTCACGTTAATATTCTGTCTTCCTAAGTCCTCTTCATTTGAAGATAGACTGGGCCCAGTGTTATCTTCCTTGGACATACTTGACCAGATTTTCGTTATTCTTAATTATGTTAACTCAAAGGGGATGGGGCCTAGGGCCTCTTTCTTCCACTGCCATTACCGAGATGAGAACCACAATTAGTCGCTGAGGTGGGTACATGGGATGATATAACTTTTATATTTCATTTTTCATTTTATATCTTATGAAAGAATACTCTTATCTTTTGAACAAAGATTACTGACAATCATCAGCTCCCATCTCTGGTAGTAATTATGTTGCGAGATAGGGAGATTTTAAAATATATTGTGGTATAACTAAACACAACCATCCTGAAGAATAACATGCAGTATGTAATGAGCGGGAAGGGAGGATGGGAAAAAAGCCTTCTGAGCAGTACTTCCCTCCTAGAAGAGAGAAATTCTTCCAGAGCTTACACAAAGAGATAACGCGTAACATTCACTGAAACATTGTTTGTAATTGCAAAAAAATAAGGAAACAGAGAGAGAGGAACAACCAACATCATCAACAGAAGGATGAATAAACAGGGATATATTCATTCGGTGGGGAACGATACAGCAGTCACAATGAATGAGCCAGAGCCCTCAGTAACCCCATGTTCGCATCTAAAAACAACGTAGACAGAATAAAGGAGCAGAGTATGTAACAATGTGATATGTTTCTGGAAAGTTTTAAGGCATGCAAAAACCAAGATGTCACCCATGTAGACAAACATATGAAATATAACTATAAAAACATGCACAGAAATGTTTAACAGTAAACTGAAGAAACGTCACCTCTCCGGAGAGAGAGAAGTGGGGGCTGGGGAGAAGTAACAAGGGAGCTTGAATGGTATTTGCAAAATTAATATATTGGTATTAATATTAATAATTTAAAATATTAAGCAAATATTATGAAATGATAAGCATGGTCAAGCCTGGATGGGTGGGCTTTATTGTTTTATTATCTCTTATCATTGGAACATTTGAATGCCAACTCCATGACGTTGGGGACTTGGTTTTGTCGAAGGCTCTATTTCTGGAACCTCAAAGAGGGCCTAGGGTGTCCTAGGTCCTCAATAAATTGTTAACTGAGAGAATGAATGAATGATTCTCCCTACAGTCCTGTATACTTGCAATAAGTGTTTTATAAATAATAAAATTCTAAAGAAAAAATACAAAAATGTGGTTTTGTAGCAAAAAAAGAGGAAAAATATTTAAAAATTAGAGGAAAATGAAAAATACTGTGATTTTTCATAGCACAGATATTTATGAATTCTGTAAAAAAGGAAACTGTAGAAGAAGGGAGGAGACTTGGAAATTCAATGCTCAAGGAGCTTCCAAAAAAACCCAACCAACCAACCAAAGGACTGGATCAACAGCTCAGTCCTCGTGAGCTGCACTGTCTTCTAACCACACCAGAGTATCTTTGCTATCAGTGCCTGAAGAAACTAACATCTGTGCCTTTGAATGCAGACCCCTTCCGGATCCATGAGCAGGGCAAGGTCTTCTCCGGTCCCACCACACAGCACAGCAAAGCACAGCAGCAAGGAGCCCTTTTGCATTTACCCCAACATTTCCAGGCAGTCCCCAGAGTACCCAGTTCCAAAAAGGCTGGAAGAAAGAAACATGGAGACGAGCTGCTTCCTTGACCGTCTCCTTGAACACATCAGGAAATGGCAAACCACAAGAGCATGCACCTGGGGCAGGCATGCAGGAACACCAAGGCAAACAAGTGGAAAAGTACCTCGGAAGTCACCTTGCAAGACAGTAACTTAGAGGTGTACTGGCAGAGAGGGAAAAGAGCAGGGTTAGTACACAGCAGAGACACACTCGCACAACACCCTCCCCCAGCTGGAAACTGGCGCCACGCTGGGGGTGGGCAGGTGGGGACGGAACATCGGGAGGCCATCACACACACGTCACACTCGCTTCATCTGATATTAGTTTATTTAAAACTCTATCTTGGGGAGCACACAGATACCCCGCTATTCACTAATAAAAATATCAGATAAGCCATACTTTGTTAATTCAAGATTTGCTGATTCCGTTTTTCTGTGCTTTGAATTAACAAGAGTCCTCCCCTCCCCTGTGTGCGGATGGCTGCCCACCAACGAGGTCTTCGATGGCTATACTGGATTTGCTAGACTCTATAGCCAACCAGCCTCTTCTCTTCCTGTAGTTCCTTTGAGCCCCACAGCAGTCTTGTAGCCCAATGTCCCCCGAAGAGAAGACCCAAAGCACAGGAAGGACTTGATCTGGATGCAAGGTTTGTGGGGGCAGATTCTGTGAGCCGAACTGTGGATGGCACCGCCTAGGGAGGGCACACAGCCATCCCTGTCACTATTCTGGGGGCCTGGATGAGTTCCTGACAGTCGGGTGATCACGCAGGAACTAAAAAGACCCTTTAGTTCCTGTGGGAAAGTCAAAGTCTCTGCAAGAAAATCTCCGAACAAAATGGGCCAGCTAAGGGAAAGGACATAAAAGAATGGACTTTGGGCAGCCCCCTCCAGAATTATGGTAACGGTAATGACCTTGTGTTTACACAGCTTAGGAACTGGAGGCATTTCTCAGTCTTGGCTGCTGGCATCCATGGACTGGTTAGGTGGGGTCCTATGTCTGTGGTCATTACCGGCTTCTAATGCATAGTGCTAAAAATTACAGTTCTGTAATGGTCAAGGCTGATGACCCAGGTCTGATGAATTCTTTTTGTACCCCCACAGGGCATGAGCAGCTAGGAGAAATCTAGGCAGCACGAAACATCCTTGATTGTGGCTAAGCTTCCCATGGAGCCTGTGGTGTGGGGCACAGGACAGGCCTCCCTCGTCCACTCCCTGAGAATAAGTATGGCCACAGGGTGTCTTGGTTTGAGGGGGAATGTGTGTGAGGAATTCTTAGAAAAGCATGCTAGCCCCCAGCTTTGACTTAACCCAGAAGAACAGGTGAGGCCTTCTCTTATTCCAAAACAGGCAGGGACGACTGAAAGATGCCTAAGTAACTATTTTGGGGGCAAGAGAGAGAGTAGAAACCCCTCCAAAAGTAGACCCTATGCTAGAAGCGGGGTTGGGGCTGAATGCCTACAGGGGACTATAATTTCGGTGCAGGTCAGCATCTCTGCAGTGAGAAAGGGAAGGCAAATCCACCAACTTGTTCAAGAGCATCACTGACTCAAGAACCCGTTCCCTTCTGAGGCTTAGGGAACAAGTGGCTAGAAAAACACTTTTGCCTAAATATCGTTCCTTTGCAAGGCACCAGGGAACCTTCTAGGAAACTATGATTCACCAGCCCATCGTGTGTTACAGGATGGACCAGAGATGGCCATCAGGCCCAGATAAGGGGACACTTTCACAAAGAAAACGCTTCCAGATAAGAGCAACCCATAATCAGAACAGGACTGTTGCCATCTGGGTGTGTGGTGCACACGAGGTGCAGAAGAACCAGGCTGAGCGGGTGGACGGGGTTGCAGCTTGGTCCGCTCACTGCCCTCCCAGTGAGGCGGGAGTGCGTCCTGGAACATGAAAAAAGGTGCTTTTTTCTAATTTGTACAAAGGCCCTGTGGAGGCTGGTAAACAGCCAGGGTAAGGGGCTAAGGGTGGAGAAAGCAACATCCCTACCCCCAAATTAACAGAGGGGTCCTTTAGTCAGTGGGGCCTGGCCAAAGCCTTGAGCAGGGAGGCACTCCTTGGTGACCATATCACACAGAGCAAGGAAACCAACAGGTGGCACCTGCCCAAGGTCAGAGCTGGTAACAAGGGCGGCCATGTGGGGATCACGTCTCAAGAAAAGGGAACTTTTTCCAGTTCCTTGTTATTGACTTTTTCACCAACTGTGAAAGGAGCAGACATCCACAGGTGACGTAAGATCCCCAATGCAGTGCCTTGTGGGTAGATATCCCAAAAGAGAGCTGGGATTGAACTTCCCATCTTCTGTTGTTTTCCGAGCATTCACCTTGTTTCCAGCAGAAGAGGGCCAGCTCAGGGACATGAGAAAGGCCACCAAATACTGCAGTTCCCCCACACCACCCCCTGGCAGGGGATCCAGGAGCCAGCAGCCTCCTTCCGGTCTGGCATGCAATTTTTTTAAAAGTGGGAAAATTTAAGCTGGAAATGAGCCAGGGACAGGACTCCAGAGACCACCGCTGCTCCGGGGTGGGGAAAAAACTCATCTGTCTGGAATGGCAAGGATGTTTTTCTTGGGGGTTGGCAAAAACCACTCATGAAAACTCTAGGCATAGCTTCCTTTGGTTCCTCTGTCTTCTCTTTCTTCTGTCCTTCATGCTCCATAGGACCATGGGTCTACCGTATCACGACACATACAGGCCAACTGCCCCATTTTGCTTTTAGGTCTTCCTTCTCCTCAGCAAGCGAGTAAGAATTCTTTTCATTCCAGTCAGAAAGAACTCACTGCTTCCCCTGAGCAAACACAAAGTTTGGTCCTGAGTGTGTGTGAGGGACTCATAGTGCTGTCAAGTGACCTACTGGAAAGCATATTGGCAGGTGGATGTGTCAGGTGACACTGGCCTCAGGTGAGCCAGGTAAGGCTTCTAGAGGGGGGAGGAGCTAAGGAGTCAGGTTTCACCCTCAGAATAGTGTATGGGAACAGCACTGGGAAAACAGAACTACCAGCTTCTGGGGCAGGGAAGCCACTACACAAGTATCAAGCAATCCATTGGCTCCCTGTGATTATCCTTCCGGTAGACGAGATGATTAAAGAAGGGGCAGAAACAGCTAAGGAAGACAAATGAAGTTTGTTCATTCCTACAGGGAAACTTTGACACGTTCCCCAGCGACTGATGACGAGACAGTAGAAAGGATCCCCAGGGTGAAAAGGTCTAAGGGGTGAACCAACAGGTGGCATGAAAATCAAGTCTGGTTGATGGTCACTGACATGCTTTAGAAGCGACCTGAGTAGGCTTTTGAGTTCTGGGTACAGAGGATATAGCGAACCGGATAGATTTCGCTCTGTTCCTAAGTTTCCCACAACAGCAAACTCAGTTCTCTTGTAATCTCAAGAACAGTGTAAAACACCCGGCTCTGAATCCAAGATCTGGGGCTATTAATAGCCTGATTAGTTAATGGGTTTCTTCCTTATGCAAAATGTTTCTTTACTTGAGAAAAACTGAGATGGGAGCCTGCCCCTTGGTTGAGTTAAGTGAGGGGTAAGGTGTGTACTGAGACGTTGATTCCAGGTAGCGTCCTGAAGGCGAAGGGGAAAGCCGGTCTGGTGGCTCCCGAGTTTGCACGAAGGCAGCTTCCAGCTCTGTCTGCAGAGTGAGCGGCCACAGGCCCTTCACTCCTGTGGGTAGTGTGTGCCTCTAACGGGCGCACAAAAAGCACACACCAGAGATACACGGCCGGTGCTTAGAAAACACCTGCACGGGGCACACGCAGAGTGCTTCCCTTCGTTCCTCCCCTTCCATGCCAGGATGCAGGGGCCCCTCAGCTAACTGCCGCCATGGCCGCTGATACACAGTGAGGACTCCCTGGGAGGAAGCAAGCATGCACCTCAAAAGCACAGGCCCCAGAAAATACCTACAGGGAGACTCCATGTTCTCAGTGGGGCTGTAGGGAAGTGCTGGGCAAGGTGACTTCACGGGCAGAAGTCCCATGCGCTGGGGGAAGGAGCCCCAGCAGGAGTGTCTGCAGCAGCTCCCGAGGGCCGGGCCCCAACCACCGTGCGGTAGGAGGAATGGCCCCCAAATGCACCAGCTGAACAGAGCAGCCGAGGCAGCGTTCCAGGCAGCTTAGGTGTAAGCCCAAGGGAGAGCCTGGGGAATGCGAGCGAGTCATCGGGCTGGTGTCCACGGAGGTGTCCACTTTCTTTATCACTAAATATTTTAAAAGCATCATTCAGGATCTAGCTTCGAGCGCAGAAACCTTTGAATTTAGACAACCAGGATAAGTACGGCAGTAAGTAGGCATGGGATTCCCACTGTGAGCCTGTAGGTGGAAGTTCAAGATGACCCCATAATTTAGCATCCAAACTGGGGGGGAGGGGCCTGTTAAAAATTACACCAGGACCACAGGCATAAACCAGCACCATCTGGGCAAACTGGGCAGTGTCTTCAATAGACCCAAGCTATTTGTGACACAGGTGAAACTGCGCGGGCATGGGAGATGACCACTTCGATAAATGGTACAAGACTGAGGCCAACCAGACTCCCAGAAGGTCGGCATGGGCCCCCGAGGCTGGTCCCCGGGCTCCTGGCTGGGGAGACTGTGTGAAACAATCCTTATGTCTCTGACTGGAGAAAGAAACGCCAGAGCAGATGATTTCCTTCATGGCTCATGTGACTGTCACGGGCAAAAAGGTCTCGAGAACCGAGGGTAGCAGGGTAGCCCTGTGGTTTCGAATTGTCATTTTCAATGGCTCTTTCCTGCCAAACTGTACACACACACTTGGGAACAGCCCAAAAACACATTTAGCCTCTGGCACACTGCGACACATTTATGGGGATTGCTGCGAGGAGACAGTAGAGGGACGGCCTCGTCACAGTTCTCTAGAGAAATAAAACGTCTATGGGGTGGGCCAGCCATGGTAGCAATCAGCTCCCCAGTACCCAGAGATGATTTTGGGGTGCTTGTGTCCTTCCTCCTGTGCTGTCCTCATGTGGTTTTTTTCTACACACCAGACATCCCCTGCTCTGGCCTCACCGGTGGGTTCCAGGAGCTACACTCAGCAGCTCCCTCCATGATCCACGTTTTTGAGAAACAAGGCAAAACACCCAAACCCAACTTCAGGCACATTAAACGGACACATCTGAGAACTGGCTTCAGAGCCAGGACGCTGGCCAGACCACGGCACACACACCCGCGCCTGGACTGGGATAACCACATGCCACGCGGACGTTCACCGTCAGAGAAGTGAAAGAGGAAAGGAGGAAACACTTACACTACTATCATCCATTCTCTCACGCCTTTTAGATTTGTGTGTCTCATAGTCTTCCATGAGGGTCTGCATCAGATTCTTGGGCCGCTGGGATCCGGCAGCCTCTTCAGGAGCTAAGTCAGGCTGCGCGCTGGGGCCTTCAGGTGAGGGGGATGGAAGAGGTTTGACTTTCTCTATTTTCCCTGAAACAACAGGAAGAGAACACCCTTTCTAAGCTCGTCTGCTCATGACTGCTTCCGGAAAGAACACCTGTAAAAAGCAACCTCTGACAGAGAGCAGTACCAGAACGGTAGTTAAGTGTGGGTCGTTGTACTGCAGGGACTAAAGGTTAAAGATGATGTCACAAACCCATCCGACAAAGACCTCAAGGACACCAGCGCTGGAAAATCAACCAGACCAAGGAGGCCTGCAGGCACTCTGGAAATCTATGTCAGTCAGACACTGGCTCTGATTGTTTTGGGAATATGTGCTCTATCACTGATTACAGAATTCGACCGTCAGAGGTGGTGGTGCTGCCAAGCTTTGGAAACCCACATTTTACAGTTGAGGAAAACAGGCTCTGCAAAGGGGATGCCTTGCTGAGGTCCCAGGGAGCTGGCGATGGTTCCAGGTCTCTTGCTTTCCTCACCAGGTTCTTATATCAGAAGTCACAAGTGCAGTGGGCAGCAGACCTGCCCAGCCTTTCTGCATGGACAGCACAGGACTACAAAACATCTGACGAGAGCCAGGCTTGTTGTTCCCAGGTCACCCCAGTCTTACACTGGCCAGCTTCACTCTTGACCTTACCTGCCAGGGCCCTGAGAGCATACGGTTTGCAACTCTCAGACCTTAGGGTTGGAATACCAACGGAGGCAGGTTGGGTGTTGCAGAAGGGCATGCACCAGACTTGGAAAAGGTGAAATTTTAAGCTTCTGAAGTGCCCTATGAGAATTCTCAGGATAAGGACATCAGGTCAACTGTGATGCCATGGTGACTCCAGGCACTTTCATTAAGACTGTTTGTATCCTTCCCTCTCAGGAAATGCCTGGTCCTGACTCCTGGCCCATCACGGGGTGAGTCTCATTGCCAGAGCCCCAAATGCTCCTCTGAGAGGCATCTTCAGGTGCAACAGCCATGATTTTTCCAACTGTGCCCATTACGGGAGACACAGATAGGGTGTGTGAACAAGAAATGTGGAAGGAACTCACAAATTACTAGGGCCATTTGAGTCTAAAAGTTTGGAAACCACCAGGGGAGGAGACGGATCCTTTTGACCCCTTTCATTCCCAAGCGGAAGGTGGCTCATGTTTTTTCCTCTTCCTCCCTAGACTTCTAACTGGGCAACTGCTGTAGCCACAGTCACAAGTGAAGCCTGGGGACCATGTCTCCATGTGGGCTGCTACAGCCCTTTTCCCGGCATAGCTCCTTTTGATGGGAGTGGGACACCCTCCCCACCCCCTAGAGTTCAGAAAACCCAGGTTTTAATTCTTGCACTTCCATTCACTAGCTCTGTGTTGACCGTAGACAACCATTTCTTGTTCTCCCTCTTATCTTGGGCCGATCACTTAAGATCTCCAAGCTTCAACTTTCCTAATTATAAAAAGAGAATTTGGAAGTGCCTGGGTGGCTCAGTTGGTTAAGCGACTAACTTTGGCTCAGGTCATGATCCCAGGGTTCTCGGATCGAGTCCCACTTCGGGCTCCCTGCTCAGCAGGGAGCCTGCTTCTCCCTCTCCTTCTGCCCCTCCCCCTCCTTCTCTGTCAAATAAATAAATAAATAAATAAAATCTTTTTTTTTTAAAAGAGAGAATTTGGGAAGAAACTTCTTTGAGGTCCCTTCTAACTCAAACTCATTTTGCCATTCTGTCAAATATTTCTGGCAAGAGGATCAACCTGTATTGATTAAAAGAAAAGATGTATGGCCATTTTATTTGGCAAATTAGGTGTAAGGTGGTTTTAAATACACAGAGCACTCTATCTGTAGACCCACCATTCCATCGTAACTTAGCGAAGCTCATTGCCTTGACCTAAATTACTCAGGTCACTAATAAAAAGTCTTTTGATATTGACAGTAAGGCAATAAATATTTTGAAGTCCTCAAATTCACTAGCAATGGATTCTATTTTTTATTATGAAAACAGGGAATGCTATCATAATACCTACAGACCCATCAACTAGATTAAACTGTTAGCAACATTTTACCATGCCTTTTGCATCTATCTTCCTTCTCTTTTCATACAGAAATATTTTAAAACAACCCTAGACCTTAGGTAGTATCATCCCTAAATGCTTAGTATGTGTCTCTAAGAATTCCCATTGACTTTTTAAGTGAAGCCTTAAGAAATTATACAGCATAGTGGTGGGCGTGCAGCTCTGGAGCTAGCCACTTGGGTTTGAATCCAATACTTAGCAGCCAAATCTTGGGCAACTTCCTGTTTCTCTATCTCAGTGTCCTCATCTATAAAATGGGTATGAGGCTAGAAGTACCTACCTCACACAGTTGATATAAGGACTAAGTTAATATTTATAAAGTTAGTATTTAAAACAGTGAGATTCCAATGATCTAGTGACTATCTATTTGTAATCTCAAAGAACACTATGTCTACCGAATGAGAATGAGCAATTTCAAGGGCATATATATACTGCATAAGATTTTTGCAATTCTTCTAGAACTAGAAATAGACACCAAATATCATTTTCCAACTGACTTCATGGGTATCCAAATAATTTCCCAGCAGTCACCTCTCCAGTATTAACCTTCTAGAAAGCAGAGTCCATATTCACTGCTCTAAATTCACCCTTTCACACATATCACAGTAGGACCCCTGGATCATGGCACTTTGTTTATACTTCTGTGAAAGCCCCATCATATATTGACTTGTATCATACATGGTTGTTTAAGCTTCTCTTCTTAGTTAAGCTATAATGTCAACCCAGGATAGGGATGATTTCAACCATTATGAATCCCTTAACTCATCTGAATGTAAACTCCCTTAGAGCAGGACCTTGTGTGTCAAAGTCATTGCTGGATCCTGGTATCCACTGGTATTTGGCTCAAAGCAGGCGCTCGTGTTTGTGGAATGAACCACTAAGTTACCTAAGTACATTACGACATTATGACATAAATGCAGCAGCCACCTGTTAAGTGCTTGTGAATTGGGATAAAATTCCCAGTAAAGAATCTGAGGAGAGTTTAAATGTTTTCACCAAAGCCATGAAACAAAGCCATCTTGGTCTACAGAAGCACAGATTCAATGGCTTCGTAGGAATAGCAAGCACATTTATGTGGCATTTTATTTATAAGCTTCATGTCATTTGATTCTTACAACAACCCTGGGATGTAGTCAGGGTCAATGCCATGACATCTGTGAATGGTTTAGACCACAGAGACTCAGAGGCTAATGCCAGGCCAAGTTAACATCAGCTAGAGTAACAATCAGAGTTGGGTCTGGTCTGGAACGCAAATTGTGTTGATTATGGCTAAATTAGATGATGGAATGTATGCTGAAAGAGAATCATAAAAAGGTTGTGAAGGGTTAATATAGAGAAATAGTCAAGTATTGGACATTAAAAGGCATTTTCCTGCTTATTCTTAATATTCCAGCAAAACCACCCATCCCTGCAGCACGTTTTACTGGTTCCAGCCACTAGAGGTCACCTAAGTAACAGGTTAGAAAGATGGCTGACAGGTCTGGAACGGCCACTTCCAAAGAGGTCCAGAGGTCTTTGAGAGAACAGATTTCTGATTAACCAACCCAATGTCAGAGCCTCAAGGGAAGCTGTCATGGGTTCCCCAGAGAAAGGAAACACAACAACCCATCCCATACCCTGACTTCTGGCCATCAGTCTGATTGGGATCAGGGGAAGTCAGCTTGGCTGGGCTTCTCTGCTAGGACCTGTGATCTCCAACCATCCTACCCTTCTTCCCCCACTGACCCAGTACAGTTCAAACTACGCACTGTGCAGTCTCAGCAATCACACAGATGGTCAAACAGCTGGAGGGGCATCTGCTCCATACCCAACCTCTTCCTCAGAGGGCCCAAGATTGTAGCCAACAGTCCTCTCGACGAGGATGCGTGAAGAAGTTTCTAATTCTCTTCCCCCAGCAGGGGACACTGCACACACCACCATTGGTGGGGTCTCGGGGATCATCACATGGATGTGATGCAAAATGGTCTGTGCCACAGACCTGGGAAGTCCGTCTCACCTTTGCCCATGGCCCTGCAAGGCCCCTGGAAATTCCTTGGCCCAGAAGACGCAACCCATTACAATTCCGGAACAGTGATGGTTAACTTTGGTGCTCACCGGTGCATATCGCACACAGCACCTCCCAGTGCCAACATGTTCCATCCCCATTTGCTCCATCAAAACTTGCTCTCGTGTGTTTATTCACTTAGTGAATGACCAACTAGTTGATGGTAGCTGAAAGGGGCTTCTGTTTTCAATGGCAGACATCCTGCTGTCTAGCTCCTCATCTGGACTGCATACTCTACAAACTAGCTCTCTTGAAGGACACCCATCACTGTCCCTGTGAAACAGCATGAACAGAAAGCATCACACAGATGTTGGGGCACACCTGTGTTGGTCTTGGCCAAAGGCTGGTCCCTGACATTTACAGAGCAGCGAGCAGGTGCAACATGAGTTCTACGGCATCTGACATAAGGAACCAACAGAATAAAACTAGGCAGGAATTCTCGGTGGAGGGTAGGAGACATTTTCAACTCCCCTTCATTTTTGATTTTGTTCAAACTATTCCATCTAGAGTAACTTTATTCACTTATTAGTTATTATTTTTAGTGTATCTTTTAAAATTCCAATTTAGTGTACACACAGTGTTATATTCATTTCAGGTGTACAATATTGTGATTCAACAATTCTATACATTACTCAGTGCTCATCATGATAAGTATACTCTTAATCCCCATCACCTGTTTCAAGCCCATCCCCCCACCCACCTCTCCTCTGGTGACCATCGGTTTGTTCTTTATATAGGTTGAGTCTGTTTGGTTCTTATTTTCTTTGTTCCTTTGTTTTGTTCCTTAAATTCCACATAGGAATGAACGCACACAGCATTTGTCTTCCTCTGCCTGACTTATTTCACTTAGCATTATATCTTCTAGATCCATCCATGTTGTTGCAAATGTCAATATTTCATCTTTTTGATGGCTGAGTAATATTCCACTATAGATGCGTGTATGTAACTG